AGCCGGATCGGGTCGGGTCGTTTTCCTGTGGTTTCAGTGCACACTACAACCTCAGTGCGATTGTGCCCGACGACCTGGAAGTTAAAGTAGAGAAACCTTTAACCTCAATGGCTTCCAGGGCTCCTTTCCGAAGTTTCATAATAAGATAGTTCACTCAGCCAAAAATGAGTTTGCGGAAGTCTGCGCTCTGGCTCAGATGGTGCTGTAGTCTTTGTTTTGAAGCTCTCTTTTGTTTCTCGAGAAGAAGAATAGGAATAGCACAGTTTGTTAGTTTCGCTTTTATTGTATTTCACACAAGTAGTAGTAGGGTAACTCTGCTCGCAAAGTCCGCACTTTTTCAGAGAGGTGCCACCGGATTTTGAGTGTTTTTGCAGGTCACCGACCCAGTCGATCGGTTTGTGCCATGATGGCCACTCTGTGCCCTCAATTTGGCTAGCCCCGAACACCAAATCGACCCGACCCAACCCGATTGCGCTAGTGGGCATCCCCCATCATAAGTAACTGGCATATGATGCTCAGTTCGAACCATATGTGAGGCAACGTGGTAAAATCAGGTGCTCATCAAAATGACAAAATCTGAGAAACAGGCGTTTTTGTTCGGCAGTTTGGAAATTTTTGGTCAAACTTTTATGTTTTGGCTTAACCTCTTTTATGTCCATATAACAGCACATTTCCATGTGAATTTTACAGAAAAACATTGACTAAAGCCATAAAATGTGTCCTTTTTCTGTTTTCAAAGACTCTTTAGCTATTAGAGTTACCAAACTTTGGCGGCCATTCTCTCGCTAATTTTAACACTGAAACCAGGTGACCTCACCTCCTTTAATCTCAAACATCTTTAGTTCTATTCAAGATAAAGGGATGCTTATTTCATTGGAATCAAGGCAAATAAATCGTCTTTCAGATGATACCGATAAATCCACCTGACTAAAAATTGACGAGCGCTTGATTCCACCACGCCCTTACACATACAGGCCAACAGTGGCAGTAGCCAAGGAGAAAAAGAGACCATAACATGGATTTTTTTAAAAACAATTTGCGAGCATCGCATCGGTATAATCTCAAGTTGTTGGTTTTTTTCTACAGTTTTTGTCTTGTCCCACACAATTATACTATCATCGGGGGACAAAAAAACTGAATTGAGGGGATAGTCATATAATATATATAAATATTCGTCCTTAAAAACCTGCAGAAAAAAACATCATGTTTTTGTCTTGTCCTACTCTCTCTTCCTCCCTTTGTGTGTAATCCATCTTCTCCTCCTCTCTCTTCCCCTCCCCCCACACCTGATCTACCTCCTCCTCCATCTCTTCTCCCTTCACACATGTTTTACTTTCTCCTCCCCTCATACATGTTCCGCCTTCTTCTGCTCCTCTCTCCTCTCCCCTCACACCCAATCCACCTTCTCCTCCTCTCCCCC